TTAAAAAAATATCTTTTGATGAAATACTCACCTCTTCTTCAGATCTGTCCCCCACATACTCACCACTCTTCCAGGTTGACGGATTACACTTCATCTGCTCCCTGCCCTGACCTCAGACTGTCTTTTGGATTACACTTCATCTGCTGCCTGCCTCAACCTTCAACTGATTCTGGATTATGTTTCTTCTGCTGCCTGCCCTGACCTTGGAATGTCTTTTTTAGATTATGGTCTTTCTGTTGTCTTTCTCATCCTCGGGCTGTTTTTTGGATCAGGCTTCATCTGCTGTCTGCCCTGACCTCAGACTGTCTTTTAGATTTTGTGTCATCTGCTGACTGCCTCGACCTCCGACTGTTTCTAGATTATGTTTCTTCTGCTGCCTGCCCTGACCTCAGACTGACTTTAGGATTAAATTTGTCTGCTGCTTTTCTGGACCTTGAACGGTTTCTGGATTAGGCTCTATCTGCTGCCTGCCCTAAACCACCAACCTCTGGTGATTGTCCTTTTTCTTCGCGGTTCCATGTGCCACCCAGACAAAAACTATGGCATTGGCATTGAGTCTTGAGCCTCCATGGCCACCTTCCACCCTAGGCCAAAATGTTCAGTCAACCCTTGTAGTACGGGCGTAGCCCCATTGCAAGGATTATTATCATACAGGACTTATATAGAGACAACAGTTTGCGCAGCACTTTACAATATAAGGAAGACATTACAGTTACAATACAAATTAAGACAAGATAGTAAGGAGGGCCCTGCCCGTGAGAGCTAACAATCTAAAAAGTAAATAAAAAATGTGCCTGGAGTTCTTCTTTAACGGACCCAAAAGGACCAAATACGAGAAGTTCTTTGTTGGGGTTTACATACAATTTGAGTAATTATACTGCTTTATTAAGAAAACGAAATGTATAAATGAACTACATAGTTACTGTTTATGCATATTACAACCTAAATAAATAATCTACCCAACCCAATCTTACAAAATTCTTAAAACCGGCAGACGGAAACCTAGCAAAAAAAAAACGCCCTCATTCTGGAATCTCGTTTATTGACATAATATGAAAAAGGAACGGGTCCTTTTTATTTATTTCTTTTTTTGCTAAATCATCACTTGTGTGGCCATGGAAGGAACGCAGATATCACCTAATTAGATTAATTTCAATTTAAATAGTGAAACTTGGAGCAAATCTCATTCACCTCCAGCTTGAGAGAATCACTTAGCAGCTTAAATTAACATTGCCGATAATACAAGCGTGAAACACTTAAAAGTCTACCTTTTAATTATTCATTAATTGGAATCAGCTCGCCAGCTAAGGGGGAATCAGGCTTGTCACAGGTTTCCAGACAGGCTGAGCGCAGCGGCGGAGACACGCTATATCGTGCCTTGTTTTCGGTAAGAGCTGTCTGTGAAGAATGCCTGCGCTCGTCGAGGATGCAGGGACCGAGCCAAGACGTCTCAGCTTGAAAGGCAAACCCAGACAAGAAGTGGAATCAGTCGGTGAACTGCCAAACTGCTAACGCTACCAGGGGAACGCTGCAACTACTTAAAGCACCAGTCTTCCCTTCAGTCTTGCATGGCTGTACCTCTCCTGGACTGAAATTGCTTACTCTGTACACTGTGAGCTTATCACAATGTGCAGAGTAACATCAGCAAGTCAGATAAAGCACGCCTCCTTTTCTGGTGGTCGATCAGCCTCACCTTGCTCTGTACTCCCCATCCTGACTGTCCCTGACCCACCCCTTTCATTAATTGGCTTTCAGTTCTTTCAATCATTGAGGCTCAGCATCACATGTGGGCGTTACCCAGGCTGCATGCAAATACAGCCTGCCTAGGAACACCCACTCCTCCAGACAGACATCCACCCATCAAGGCATTCTGATATTTGCATAACTCCTCCCAAGAGCCCGCCCACTGCTGGCATCAGGGCTGGGGATTCTTGAAAGGAGTACTCAGGCAGGATTCTGTGATCTTTTTGGAAAGCTATGTACAGCACCCTGCCGGCCCCTCCTACTAGCCATGACCTGCTTGCAGTGCCCATTCAAAATCAACGCAATGCTCATTATCACACATCAACGGGCATGCTTTAACCCAACACCCAGGGGAGGTGTGAATGGGCCCTATGTCATGATGGGCACAATGGGCAAATCTCTCCAATAATGAGAGACTATCGATGGGCAACCTGAAGATGGATGCAACTTAATATGCATCTATTTTTTATCAGGCATTTGGGTGTATTGTGTTTTTAGTCGGCTAATAATACTTCTCCTCGATTCTCCAAAAGAACAGTTATTTCTGCATTATTGCAGTTTCTGACATTATAATAGCGCTCAAGTTAGGAAAGCGGGGAGATGTAATTGCTTTACATTACGTAGCACAATGCAGGCCTGTGCCTCTAACGTTAGCTCCATGTGGTAATTGTGTGTGGTGGCCATAGTAACCGAGAGAACAAAAGATTATGTTACACTCTCGTCCTCAAAGGTCCATTCAGCCGCAATGACAAGCTACTGTACCTTTCCATAGAAGAGCTACTGGTCTATCTATAGAACGATACAGTCAAACCTGAATGAGTTTTCATTTTTGGACCCAATGATTTAATAGCTCTCTTGTGTGTAAAACTTGGCAAAACACTCGCTACTGCTATAATAAGGGTAGAACAGGCGGCTGCCTGGGGCCCCAAGCTCCAGAGGACTCAATGTAGATGCTAGCTGTATTGTTTAAAAGATGTAGGTGAGAGGTGCTGGATCAGGATTGGATTTTGTTCATAGTAAGGTAAGTTCATAGTGTGAAGCTCAATTACTCTAGCTATAAAACTCTCTAACACAAGGGTCCTCCAAAGGTGCCTCAGGCGTACAATGGAAGGTGGAAAGAGAATAAGAATGGCACATCAAATGTATTGGAATCAAAGTGTATTTATTTCATTGCAGAAACCCAAAGATAACAAAGATAGCAAGCCAACATGTTCCATGGACTATAAGGTACCCCCTTTATAACGGCTTAAATTGCTGGTTTTGTTGGACTTGGTGGTTAATAGAGGGTTATATCAATTCTGGAATAAACTGTCTCCTTTATTCTAAAGCACGCTTCAAAACCTAGTTTTGAGAGTTTTTTTATCGTTAACCTACAGAAAGTTAGACCAAGTTCTATCAATCAGGTAGCCTGAATGAATACGTCCTGACAATAAACATGCCATTAGGAGAAGAGAGCAGAAGAATTAGCTTGTTTCTCTGCTGCTGTTTCTTCAACTGTAGAGACAGGTTCATTTGATGCTCTCCCTTTAAGAAGGCCTGGTGGGCTACAGTCAGCTGTTGCATCGGCTTGGTGGTTAAGTGGTTCATCTCTTGCTAGTTAGTATTTGCCAATATAATCAGTTTTACTACCTCTTTTTTATTGTGTTTAACAGTAGGTGTCTGTCTCTTTAAGGCATTGCCTGCATCCGACCAAAAAGTTGTAAGGGGCACAGGGTCAACTGGTATTGGCAGTGGTAAACCATGCATAAGATTGGGACACTCAGCAACAGTCCAAGCAGGTTTGCCCTGCACTTTTATTCAGCAATGCAGCAAACAAACACAGCCTCAATGACGGGAGCTTTGTTCAGCAAGTCCATAACATAAAACAAACAAAACATCTGCTTGTTCAAGCCACTAACTAAACTCAGGTAAGTTCCTGACTAACAGGATCCCCCTAATGGGTTTCCTAAAACAAACAAGCAACTTGTGTACCTTTTTAGTGTTCTGTCAGCACTCAGCCTTTTCTCCCAGCAGCAGGCTCCCGCAGCAGAGAGAGAGAGAGAGAAAAGGCCCTAAGCATCTGTCAGCTCACATATATATAAAGGTCTAAGGACAGCTGAGACTAATAATGTCTGGCCACCAGATAAGTTGTGGATCTAGGGGTGAAGGCTTTATCCCACCTAAAGCTATACAAAGTCTCCAGACTCCAGGACCCAGATCAAAAATGAATGGAACCCTGAGAAAAAAAACAAAAGTTTGTTTCTTCCATATCAGCCAAAAGCTCCGAAAACTCCTCACTATCTGTTGGAGGTGAGCAACCCATATACTGTCCACTATCCTGTCAGTGCCAGTGCCATACTATTTTTTTCAACTGTAAATTTAGCTGTTTGCCATTAGGACAAAGTTAATTGCAGCTAATACACATTCTGCAGCTGTACTGAGTCTGCTGTGATGCCAATAAATAATCATTATCACTCCACCATGCTCGGGAAACATTGATTACGTACTCAGATTGCTGTGGTTTAAATGCCGGGGCTGTTTTCTGCTAGCCCAGTCCTGCAACACACACTGCCATTCATTGAACATTGCATGAATTATTGCATAACATCCTTCTCCACCCAATGACGACATACGATATACTGTATGTTCCACCAATTATACAGAAAGCAGAGACCCAGTGAAAGGTAGGATCACAGAAAAAGTGAAAGGAGATTGTTCCCATCACCATCACTCGTACAATACCACCAAAAAGTGAAAGGAGATTGTTCCTATCACCATCACTTGTACTATACCACCAAAACGTGAAAGGAGATTGTTCCTATCACCATCACTCGTAATATACCACCAAAAAGGGAAAGGAGATTGTTCCTATCACCATCTCTCGTATTATACCACCAAAAAGTGAAAGACGATTGTTCCTATCACCATCCCTCGTATTACACCACCAAAAAGGGAAAGGAGATTGTTCCTATCACCATTACTCATACTATACCACCAAAAGGGGAAAGGAGAGTGTTCCTGTCACCATCACTCATACTATACCACCAAAAAGTGAAAGGAGAGTGTTCCTATCACCGTCACTCGTACTATACCACCAAAAAGTGAAAGGAGAGTGTTCTTGTCACTATCACTCCTACTATACCACCAAAAAGGGAAAGGAGATTGTTCCTATGACCACAGCTTGTGTTGTATCACAGAAAAAGTGCTACAGCTCATTCTACGCAACAAAACATTTTGCATTTGAATATCTTCAAAGGTTAAATCCAATGCTCACTTACGTCAGAGGCTTTTCTAGCCGGCTCCTCGGTGACCCAATGACTTCTCCGAGGGTGCAAAATGTTTGACCCAAGAAATCCTGAAGAGCAAAGAAAGGAACAATCAAGGTCATGTTTGAAGGAGAACTTCACTCAAGGACGTACTTCACTGGTTAAAACATTTGTAAAGCAATGCATATAATGTGCTTCTTGTCCTTGTTGAATTATTGAGTTTCACCGTAGGATATGCATGAAGATTTCGTGTGGCACTAATAAGGAAAGTGTGCAGTTAGGGAGCATTAGGGGCTTAAATCAACTCACCACATGCTTGCTAAAAGAGCACAGAACAAAAAGTAGGTGATAACTTTTGAGCATACAATTTTGCAGACTCTGCCACTGCCCTGCCTCCTGCCCTTTATAATCACAGTGCAAATCAACACACAAGGAGGTCCATCCATTCCATGTTTAATTTTTTAAGCATCCCCCCATTTCACCCAGAAACCTATAGAATAAACACTTGTACCGCTTTTTCTAAAAAATAGGCAGGCAAGCACCTAAAAAACTTTACATCACATGGTGCACTGGACACTGTGTACAGGGCAATAGCATAACTATAACCATAGCAGCCCGGGCAGCTGCTATGGGACCTGGGGCTAGAAGGGGGCCCCATTAGTTTGTTGAGACAAATTAAACATAGAACATGTGAGGATAACACAGCACTGTCTCATTACGGGTTGGAGTAGTTGCAGTTGATGACAACCCCAATCCTCTATAAAGTCTACAGTGTAGGAAAGCCGACGTCAGATGCACAAAAGGAGTTTTTGGGATCCTGGTGTCATTAGTATCTGCTCAAAGGTAGGTCATCAGGGGTCACCCCTATCACATTTTTGCTATGGGGTCCTGTGATCTGTAGTTACACTCCTGGTAAAGGGTCAAATAACAGAAAAGTGAGTTAAGTTTTGTTTTTTTTGGATCTAAATGGGACAAACGAAAGTTATTCGAAGGGCATCCCCCTACTAAGAGGTATTTTATCTCAGCAGAAAAAGGTTTCCCTGCAAAATATGTTGAAGGACACCGGTCAGGACAAAAGTATGGGGTTTGTTACTTTAATAGGCACCAGCCTGCAGCAAGTATGCAGCCAGTGAAGTCAGGCCACTGGCTAGAATACTTGTTTCTGTTTAATGATTCACTTAGGAGGGAGGCGAGGATGAAGATGATATCCCTGTAACCTGAACTTTCAAAAACATGCCAACAATGCCAACTTTATTCGATTCTAAAAGGCTTCCAATAAAGGACATTTATGATGGTTTTGAACATAGATTATTCATTTTGGTTACAGCCAGGGTGGAAAAAAACATATTTTTTCAGTCTGTTAATATGAATTATTACATTATAATACTTTGTAGTCTTCAGTCCAGCCAGCAGGGGGAGCTCTCTTCCCCTTTTTCATATTTAAGGCAGCGTATCTCTCTCAGCTGTGCTGAACAGAGGGCCTTGCTAGCAGAACTCATGGATCCATTCTTTTCAGATACCAGTGCCGATACTTAGCATTTTCATGTGAACTACCAGGGTTGCAGCGGTTGCAGCTGGGGCCTGGCTCTGGCGCTCCACCAATGTCCTGAAATCATTAGTTTGTATTGTTTTAGAAAAACTGTCACATGACAATAAACAAAAATGTATCAGTACTTGTACTTGTAAGTACTTGGGCAAGTATCAGTACTCGTAAAAATGGTATTGGTGCATCCCTTATATATGTTTATAAAAAGAAAATCATATAATAAAACAGAGATGTACAAATCCCGGGAGCTCCGTGTGCTTCTTACAAATGACAGCGGCCTCCTACCTTTTGAATTTTTCTCTAGTGTAGTCTTGGAGCTGGCAAAGTATCTGTACTTGTACTTGTACCGAGTAAGGTACCTTGTAGCGGTGCATCTCTAGTAAATAGTCTTGTTTTTTTTTGATTGGATAGAATGGACTGAGTAGAACCTCTATCAGATTTCTATTCCTGTCTCCAGCCCCCACTGAGTAGAATTCCCCTCCCTATTTATCCTGGTAACCATTGTCAAGTAGGAGAAAACCCACAAAAGAATTAGAGGGAAATTTTCCAATGGGGATACTTGTTCCAGTGGGAACTATCTAAGAAGAGAGTTAGATGGATGGATGGTCCCTATTTCATAAAACAAGAACAGTTGATCAATGCCATCAAGTTCTGGAAGATTCAATCCTTTCATCAGAAAAAATGATTATATTGAATTATCATATTTTAACATGTACAGCCGGCATTAGGTCTAATAAGAGGAGTTAATTTTCGGGCTTGGGTGAGGGAAGGATTAGGGCCCCATTCACACTAGAGTGCGATTAGGTGCTTTTATATGTGTTTTTAATGGTGTTCTAAAAGCATATATATGCAACTAATGATTTCCAATGGATCCATTCACACTTTGCATTATGATTTTTTTTTACATGCAGTCAGTTTAGCTGCATTTAGGAAAAATAGGTGTCAGGTGCATCTAGGAAAACATTTTATCTTTGTAGCCCCTATAGATATAGTTATATGTGTTCATGTGTATATGTGCTATCACAGCGATTTCTGTTCCTAACTGTAAGGAGTTAACTTGTCCTGTGTGTGATCTGAAGCAGAGACTTATGGGGATTGAAGTGCAGAACTGACTCTGGAACTTTGCTAATAGAGCTCTTTGGAACTACACATCCCAGGATGCTGTGCGAGAGGAAGGAGGAGGGGTATGAACTGCAGGGATTGAGCATGCTCAGTCTGACTGGGGGATCTGGAGGAGACAGGCCAGTGTGTGAGGCACTGCGTGAATTAGGACTGCATGCAGCCGAGCTGTGTGATTCCCACTGACAGATTGGGACACACGGACTCTGTATAGCGGCATTCTGAAGGACTGCTGTTCATCTGCTCAATTGGAGAGACTGTGTTCGAGCGCCCAGACTGAGGCCTAGTCGCATGGCTGAATCGGCCACCGGAGTGATCCAGCCAGCCCAGCAGAGAGAGAGGGAGCCAGACGGAGCCATTAGAGAGGACTGCGAACATCCTGGATGGGTGAGGACCTTTTGTCGGGGTCCCAGATGACTTCCCTCTATGTCGCCTGAACTGGAGAGAGAGAGAGAGAGGACGTCCTGCATCTGCTAGCAGTCTTCAAGTCTTTCCAACTGACGTTGAGGATTGGTGAGAGGCATTTGGCCACGTTGACAAACAGTTTGCTGTTCCCACCTGTATTACAGTAAGGGCCCCAACGCCGGCTAGCTTAGGACACCACTACTGGCCAGTAGACTAGGAAGGGTTGGACATTGCTAAAAGGGAAACCTTAAAGGGACACACACCCCATTACCAGGCGGCCATTTAAAGACAATTGGCCTCTCATATATCAGTGCTGACAGCATATAGCTGCAGTTACTGAGTTGCAGAGTGTCTCAGCCTGTTGCTACACATTATTGTTGTCGATTGTTGTCATTGCTATTGTATCATAGTTGTTTATCTCTGCTTTATCAGTAAATCTGCCATAAAACTGTTCAAAGGTGTGTTGGTGTGCTGTGGATCCACGATTTGGGCGGTACATTGGTGTAGGGGGATAGAAATATCCGGTTATTCAGCGGCTCCATCGGGGGTGAGCGCTACATCTTCAAAACACACCAAAATGCATGTAAACTCAAGACGTGTCTATTTGCCGAAATCTCATTGGCTACTTCAATGGACAAAGGACATTACATCTAAAAGCATATGCGTGTAAACGCATGTCATGTTAAGCATCTAGAAGCATAAAAACGCATCTAGCCTGACAGATTTTGCAGACAGATCTCTGCATAAAAATGTGGACAGTGTGAATGAGGCCTACATGTCAGGGTCAGTCTAAGAGATGGGTTAGAGGTTCAGGTATGTGGGAGGCCCCTTTTTTTTCATTTGTTTTCAGCAGGTCTCCTCCCATGGCTAACTACTGCTTCACCTCCTGTCCCTCTCCCTGCTTCACAATCAGCTTAAACTATGTCTTCCCCAATGCTAGGACCAAATGTGATGACACTTAACTAAATAAGATATATCAGTCTAACATATTGTCTGACTGGTCAGTAATGCATAGCCACATCTTAGGTATCACTCAGAGGCATCATACCCTCTGCACTCCTCTCCTACACATACTGCCCATCATCATACCCTCTGCCCTCCTCTCCTACACATCCTGCCCACCATCATACTCTCTGCACTCCTCTCCGACACTTAACTAAATAAGATATATCAGTCTAACATATTGTCTGACTGGTCAGTAATGCATAGCCACATCTTAGGTATCACTCAGAGGCATCATACCCTCTGCCCTCCTCTCCTACACATCCTGCCCACCATCATACTCTCTGCACTCCTCTCCGACACTTAACTAAATAAGATATATCAGTCTAACATATTGTCTGACTGGTCAGTAATGCATAGCCACATCTTAGGTATCACTCAGAGGCATCATACCCTCTGCCCTCCTCTCCTACACATCCTGCCCACCATCATACTCTCTGCACTCCTCTCCGACACTTAACTAAATAAGATATATCAGTCTAACATATTGTCTGACTGGTCAGTAATGCATAGCCACATCTTAGGTATCACTCAGAGGCATCATACCCTCTGCCCTCCTCTCCTACACATCCTGCCCACCATCATACTCTCTGCACTCCTCTCCGACACTTAACTAAATAAGATATATCAGTCTAACATATTGTCTGACTGGTCAGTAATGCATAGCCACATCTTAGGTATCACTCAGAGGCATCATACCCTCTGCCCTCCTCTCCTACACATCCTGCCCACCATCATACTCTCTGCACTCCTCTCCGACACTTAACTAAATAAGATATATCAGTCTAACATATTGTCTGACTGGTCAGTAATGCATAGCCACATCTTAGGTATCACTCAGAGGCATCATACCCTCTGCCCTCCTCTCCTACACATCCTGCCCACCATCATACTCTCTGCACTCCTCTCCGACACTTAACTAAATAAGATATATCAGTCTAACATATTGTCTGACTGGTCAGTAATGCATAGCCACATCTTAGGTATCACTCAGAGGCATCATACCCTCTGCCCTCC